GGGTGTTCCATTTGAAAAATCAAAGAAGCCGCTACTTTATAGTAGAAGCGACAACGCCGCTTCGTCTGAAATATTTTAGGCGTGTAGGTCATATTGATTTATGCATACCGTGAAATTTTCAGGTCGATCCGTTAAATAGTTTGTTAGAAACGGCTAAGTAACGCTCATCATGAAAAACCCTGTATGGAGGGCTGTTTCAGATAATTTAATGAAAATTTCATGTTTACAGGTGAAAATCATGTGATAAATTCATTGCTACTGAACAAGCTCAGTATCGAGAATTCTAAAAAGAATCTCGATTTGTATTACTCAATTAGGACACTGCTGCCAGAAGTATTTGAACACATGACCTTCGAAAATATTTTGAAGCAGGCAAACAGATTGTGAGTATATGGATCATATAGTACTTTTTGTGTTCTTATAAACATTGTCATCAAATTGAGTTTTGAAAATGTACCGTGGTTTTCGTGATGGTTTATCTCAATCGAGAGCTTCGTAAACATAATTAACGAGCTGTGATATCGCATTTGGAAAAAAAATAACAGCAGCAATGTATAGAGTACACAATTCTCTATCGATTAGTATAATATACTACGACACAGTGAAATGAATATACAGGGTGATCCATCTCAGACGAACCACTCCGTATATTTCTTATCCCATAGTGAGTGAAAAAATTTACCGAAACACGTCGAATGATTTTGTTTGTGGGACATCTTTTGACGTTTGTTTCAGGCTTGAACGAGCAAATCCTAATAGGGTACTCTTCAACCCCTCAAATTTAATTAGGGGAGAGGGGTTGAGTGATACTTTACTTGAAAGGTCTTGGAAGCTTCTTTACAACGGTGTACGAAAGACATCAATTTGATTAACCGTTTTTGCCAAAAATCTTTTTGGCAGCTTGAATGAGCCACCTTGAATAATTTGGTTATTTTTACAATGTACAAGCTCATTTTTATTAAGCCCTTTCTACAAACTTAAACAATCTTCAAAAAATCACATTCTTGAAAAAATTGAATTGTTAAAATTGTCCTCCATTGACTTCCATATAATATTACAATCTTGGCTGAAAACCGTCTCTGAATGGTTCAGCATTATTGGAGTTATTTGACGACATTCATTCACAATTCTTTGGCGTAGTTCGTCGAAATTTTCAGGGTGACTCACAAAAATCTTGGACTTGAGATGTCCTCACAAGAAGAAGTCAAGAGGGTTCAGGTCAGGAGAACGGACAGGCCACTCCATAGGACCTCTTCTTCCAATCCAACGACCGGAGTATTGCAAATTGAGGTATTGGCGAACTGGTGCGGCATAGTGCAGAGGAGCTCCGTATTGTTGGAAATGCAATTGTTGTTCAAGTAGTAGAGGATCGCTTTGTAATTGTTCAGTTATTAACGGATTGATCGCACTTTTCAGCATTTCAACATAACGTTCGCCAGTTAAATTACCAGGAATAAATAGAGGTCCAATTAGGTGGTCTCCCAAAATGCACACCAAAACGTTTAGCTTTTCTGGATGTTGAGTGTGAGCTTCTCGAAATACATGAGGATTTTTGTAGCTCCAAATTCTACAGTTATACCGGTTAATCTCTCCATTAAGTAAAAAAGTCCATTCGTCAGAAAAACAAACGTTGTACAAGGCCATAATTTCGCAAGACTCTTGCCTTCGATCCCAATCATCATGTAATTCATGAAATAATTTAATTTTGTGCGTATGGAAGTTGTATTTATGTAAAATTCTGAAGACGTAAGATTGACTAATACCAGAAACTGCAGAAAGTTGTCGTACAGATTGCGTGTTTGCATTAGTCGGACATGTCTTAATACCGCCACAGCTGCTCCTTCATCATTCACAATTCCAATGGGTGCCCTTATTTATTCATTACTGAACCCGTCTCCACAAATTTTGAAATCAATTCCAGTACGTACTTATGGCGAGCGCTACGTTCAGGATGATTTTGGTTGAATATATTTGCAGCCGCTCGGGCACAATTATGTTTTTGGTAATGAAGGCCAACCAGCTCAACACGTTCTTGCAATATGTACACCATATTTCTTGAAATNTCACTGTTGAAGAAATCTTTCATTTGAAAAACGGCGTTTATATAAAACAAACTTCCTGAGAACTTTTTCCAAATGGATGTAATCTTCAGCGATTGAAATCCAATGTGAATCAGTACTTTCGCACAGGCACCACTCTAAGATTGCCTTAGGGATTCTCCTGTAGTTCTTTCATTTTTTTCTTGGAAAAAATACCCAAAAGAAGGTGAGGTGAAAGTATCCTTCTATAATTTTCTGAATTCGTTAGAATATTGTTGCTGCCTGTGAATTTTCATCGAAATGTGCAGATAATCAAAATAATATTCAACAAACCATGAGCTATATTCGTAAGCAACGGTTTCCGAGAAAACAGATTATCACGTTTCTTATCAAATGAGTGTACATAGAACTGATACGACTTGCCTTTAAGATATCGCTCCCGAAACATAAGGTGGATTCTGGCTGACAGAACCTCGTTAGAAATTTAATCACTATGCGAGCGAAGATATTCTCGAGTTCACAGTAAGTTGTTTACTTAAATTACACTGTTTGAATCTCGTTATCTTTCAGGACGATTCATCACCTTAGGTTAAGGATTTGGAGTTTCGTAGCTTATAATGAATTCGTCTGAAACGGCTTCTCGTTGAGTTGAAAAAAGCATTGCAAGAAATTACTCAATCTAGAAAAATATGGTTATCTATAGGAAGAAAGAAAATACAGGCTGTCTTCTCATGACATATTAATACTTAATGAGGAAATTTTTGAATCCATTAGAAATTCATATGGATATACAAGTGAGCAACAAGTGATTTCATATGTCGTCTATGAAATACACGATGAAACAAATACTTCAGAAAGCATATTTTTCTTCTATCGGCACCGTCACGCAAGCATCTCGTGTCGGTGGCGAAAGTTTTCCAAGGTCGAAGGACACGAAAATCAGTTTTAGTTATTATTTTGGTGTCTATAGCTCCAATGATGGCAATATTTGTTAAAAAAATTGTAGAGCATAACATTTGCGACCAATTATGTTCGAATTTCTTTTCTATATACTCGACCATTTTTGAGATAGAGGAACGGAGAACCCGCAGCGTTCAGCCATACTCTCTGTAATGCGAGATCAACCGTGAATCGCATATTAAAATGTAAGACCCTCCTAGTCGTCCTCATCTCAGTACTATACAATTTTTATCAAGTCATATTCCTGACCGTTCATGACTAATTTTGAACCGGCAACGCTTCTAATGCTACATTGCCCCAAATACAACGATTTACTTCACAGCCGACAACACCGAACATTTATAGTAGAAGCGACAACGCCGCTTCGTCTAAAATATTTTAGGCGTGTAGGTCATATTGACTTATGCATACTGTGTAATTTTCAGTTTGATCCCTTGAATAGTTTGCCAGAAACGGCTAATTAACGGTCATCATGAAAAGCCCTGTATATTCTGAAAGTGATTAGAGTTACCATTGAAATTTTCTCCATTCAGTAACACATTCATATCGATGCTCGACTTAGTTGATCTAGCCATATTGAATCAACTACACGTAAGCTATCTAGTGTTTAATTTATTCTTAGACAGTTGAGAAGTGCTGTAGGTTTGATGACACTGTAGATAGCATATCATTCACTATTCCACGCAGTGATTTCATATGTAGTATTGATTTCGAGGCATTTCACAAACTCACAATTTTCAGATGCCAGAAAAAAGCCATGAAAATTATGTCAAACGTAGAACAGTGTCTTTCTTTTTTTATTCAATTTGGAATCGTGCCACTTCCTAGATTATATATTTATATTGTGGTGTTGAAGATTCATAAGAATATTGAGATGTTTCCGAAACACTCTAAGAATCATGTATTTTGTATATAAAGTGGTCAAATAACTTATTCTACATGTGAACCCATTTTACATCCTCCCGAGGAGTTGTCCTCCTAGGTCATCGTCCATCCTGTCCTTTCCAGAAAGGTGAACAGGCCACTAGGAGACACCTCCTTAATATTGGCAGGTGTAGGCCAAGACTCGCCGAACACATTCCCTTTGGCAACCTTGAGGTGTCTTACGGTGGCCTCCGCGAAGGTTTTGAAAGGTGCAGCAATATTACTGTCGTTGCGCAGCTTCTTCAACCTTCTAGATGTTCTCTCCGTGGAGGTGCACAAGTGAGGGGGTTTTCCCGCAGGGGCAGCCGGTTCTTTGCCTTTATTCAAGGCAGAGCTCTTGGCTCCCGCCGTAGGAAGTGCCCTTGCTGTTGGAGGTGATCTGCTGTGTCCAGCCTCATTCCAAGCAGAAGGATGGGGTGGACATTTTTGTTCATCCCCAGCCACCGCCTTAGATTGAGGTGAGCACTTCTGTCCAGCCTCGGGATTGGTTTTTGTTTTTGTTGTTTCTGTTGTTTCATTCATGAGTCCCCACGAGTAGCAAGGGAAAAGTTGGTCACCTCTGGCAGAGCCCCGCATTACCAGAGGTAGGCTGATTACAATGAGGTTTCGCCCAGTTCCCCAAGGGGATCGTTCGTGACCGAGATCAATTGGTTGAAATGCATGCGATTCCGTTGTTATGAAAATTTTGTTCATAACAAATGCTTTCGTATATAGAATAAGATGAAATTTATTAAATTATCATACCCACTTGCTTGCTCACAAAATAACCCTCGATTATCAACCAGTTCGCCTTCCCTTCGAAATTTCATGAATGTGGCAACTTTTGTATTCCTGAACGAATATTAAATATTGAATATTTTTAGTTGTTTTCTTCCTCTTCCAAAAAGAACACCAGAAGGAGACAGAATTACTCTGGTACGACTCATGGAACCTAATTCAGAATTAGACCTTCATTCTCTGCTAGGATACTGTGTGAACATTATGGATTTGAGGCTAAGAGAAGACATATGCACCAGCGAAATCATCATTGATGATTTGGAGACAATAAAATTGTCGCACCTTCCCTCAATCAGTCCTATCCATATGAAAAAAATTGTTATGATCACAGAGGTTAGTATCGTCACTTTAGTTGATATAGTTTATTGTATCTTCGGCTTAAGAACTACAATAATAGATTCAATTCGCGATGTTATGCATTATACTGGGCGACACATGTCATGAAATAACTGTTATATTTAGATTGAAAATCTTACCCAACCACACACTGATACTATCCATTTGGCTATCATCATTTTTATTCACGAAATCCTTCGAAAATAATAAAATAATTGTTTATTGTTTGATAGTGAAATAACTACAGAATGGTAAAAATAGTAAAATAGTAAAAAGAAAGCAAAACAAAAGGAGAAGTGTTAGGTCAATTAATCGCTCCTTTCACCCTTCCCTAAAATACCAAAATTGATGAATCATTTTGCAAATTTACTCAGTTATGCAAATAGAAATCAACCCATATAAGTATCCAATATTAATTAGGCAGAGAAAATTCATGGACGAAGCATTGGTCCCGAGAAGGAAATAGTTGTTGGTTCACAGATGGATCAAAAACACCTACCAGTTATGGTGCAGGTGTTTTCAGCCGCTTACCCAGAACAGAAATATCAACCAGCCTAGGAACCTATGCGACTGTCACACAAGTCAATAAAATATCCTTGGTTAGTCAAGCAGCTTTGGAAGCTCTTGGTTTCTACCAAGAAACGTCTAAATTGGTAGCAAATTGCCAAAAACGACTCTCCTCGATAGGAAGACTCAACATATTGTATCTGGTCTGGATTCCTGGCCTTACTGGTCTGGAAAGCAATGAGGCTGCTGACTTCCTTGCAAAGGAGGATACTGCAAGCAGCTTCATCGAACCAGAACCTGTTATTGGCATCGGTTCAGGCTTTGCCAAACAAAGATTGAACATCTGGATGGCAAGTAGATTCATGGACTTCTTACAGAATCTTCCAGGATTGGCTCACTCCAAGGCGTTTATTGACCTGTCGAAGCTTGATACTATGATGAACTATGATGTCTAACAGGCCTTCTTACAGGTCACTGTCATTTTAATCATCATATGCAGAGACTTGGACTGTAGGAAGCCAGTATGTGTCGCTTCTGTTTGGAAAAACCTAACTTAACTCAAAGAATATGCAAACCGCAGACACGTGTTTCTAGCTCATTAGCCCTCATCAGTACGGTATAGTCAACAGTTGGTTGCCGAAAACAAGAAGTGTTAATTCATTATCACCTTAAATAATGAATATCAATACTGAATATTTCGAAATAAATTCCATCATCATTAGAAAATTATTAATTCAATTGATTTTTGAATGTTCCGGTTGATAACAAATAAAAAAAAACATTCGTGCGCTACTCGCTATCAGCTGATTTTGAAATACAATTTTGTCAGTCTTCATGGAATTGTTTCTTCAAGCAAGTGTTTAAGTGCATTATTTTTCACAAGAATGAAATCGAAATCATTCAATGAATAATTTGAGAATATTACATGCTATGAAAACTATGAGTAGATTTTACATCCACTGACCTTTGAGAGAGACCAAATATACGCGGCTTTGATTATAAAATTTAAAAATTTCATTACCTTACTGATGATGTGTCGTGGTGTGATTTTGCTTTTTTTCCATGAAGCTGCTCACTTTCACTTTCTAAATTATCACTGTCAGTTATAGTTTATTTTTAATTATTTTTAAAAATTACTTATTCCTTGATACACAGTTTATCTAAACTGTAGTGAACACAACTATATACATCAGATGTATCCAAGCAAATTGAGGAGAGAGAGATAGCGTAACACCGAACTAGTGGGAAGATAATCGCACAGTTGCCTACGCATGGATACCCGTCGCCACGCCAGAAATCGGTTTAACGTGCAGCTATAGATGTTTCACATGTTTTCGTGTAGTTCAATGTTCATGTGAAAGTAATTGCTTCGAAAGGGGTTTTTCTTACAGAGTTTCATTTCAGGTATTTTCAGCTTCCTCCACTGTGAAGTTTCACACTTCTTTCATTCAATCATGGAGAAGTAGAAAACCAAGAATTTTCTCCTTAAAACTGATCTCTAACTGAAAATATTAATATTTCGACTCAAATATTTTGTGTATTTGGGTATTCAGTGTAGCGGGAAAGATACCAGCTTGTTAAGACGAAAAAGAAATATACAGTGATTGTGACCTAGTACCGATTCAGTTTCGTTGGTTCAGACCTCTTTTTTGCACGAGACTACTCTTTGCCTGTGAAGATGTCTACTCACCGACTGATCTATTTCAACAGATTATTTTGGAGCTTACACGCGATAGAAAATTTTTAAATCTGATAAAACACTTCTTCCACATCAGACCGAAATACTGTCTTTCCACATCATCTCTTGATGACGGAAACACACCAATTCGTGTATAGTCTATCCATTCCCAATTGGAACGGCAATGAAAATGAGAGTACAGTTATAAACATTTCTTGCCTGTGGCCCCTAGTCGCCCAGATAGTTAGTAAACGTGCTATCAAATGTAGTTGAGGAGAGAAGGCTCGGCTAGCTGGACTGGCTGAATACTAATTTTTCGTCCGTTTCGCAATATTTCTTTATCAGTGCCGTGTGTTCGTGGGGTTAGGTGAGGTAGTGAATGGTTTTGCAAACCGATTTTTGAAAACTTTTTCTAGAGATCAATTACCCTAACATCAAACTGATATTTTTGCACTCGAAGCGCGTTTCGCTAACAAGGTTAGCATCTTCAGGAGAAGCAAATTGATACTGAATCTAAAGACAAGGGTTAGCTGTTCATAAACCTAAAGTTTTTTGGTCCGATGTGGACTTTGTTTGTTAAATGATGATTATCCAAATTGATTTTTCGGCAATTAACCAGTGGAGCCACTACCTGCAAATTAATTTGTCAACAATGGATTAAAAAGCGGACAAATTAATTTGCAGGTAGTGGTTCCACTAGTTAATTACCGGAAAAGCAATTAGGATAATCATCATTTAATAAACAAAATCCACATCGGACCAAGAAACTATATGTTTATAACAGCTAACCCTTGTCTTTAGATTCAGTATCAATTTGCTTCTCCTGAAGATGCTAACCTTGTTAGCGAAACGCACGTCGAGTGCAAAAATATCAGTTTGGTGTTAGGGTAATCGATCTCCAGAAGAAGTTTTCAACTTTTACACCAAAGGTTCCAATCTCATCGTTTGAACCGATTTTTGTGAAAATCTTAGTTTTTTTTGGGTACTTTCATCAATATGGCTTTCTGGAGACCTTTTGAAACAAATGATAACATTACGTGTGAGGAATCTGTGTCAATCGACAGGGATCCGGAATTTGAAAATAAGGACTTACATGTTTCAAGTTCAGCGAGTAATTTTGATTATTCATGAATGCTTGAAGAAGGAGAACTGTCACACTTCACAGAATGTTATTGTGGATAGAATATGCGAGTTAACGAAACTATCTCGTTCGACCGTTCTTCAAGTCATTAAAATAGGGGATGTCATTGATCATGCAATGAAACGAAAACAAAGGAATAAAAAACTCGCAAACGTTGATGGTGCTACAAAAGATGTGATTCGGCGAACAATTTATGGTGTATATCAAAAAAATTAAGTACCAACCTTGGAAATGATTTGGTATAAATTACTCGACTATCCCGATTACAATTACAAATCTTTAGAAACTCCACGAGGTGTCTCATTGTCTTGTGGTTTCCAATATAAAAAATTGAACAATCGGATAGTCATAATGGAATCGACACGCATTGTTCAACTCCGACAGGAATATTTGAGGCGAATGAAAAGCTACCGAGAATCCATATAATCTACCTCGACGAAACTTGGTTCGACACCCATGATGTTGTCAAATATGGCTGGGTAGACGAACCAAGTATTGTGCTTTGAACACACCTTCTTCAAGGGAAAAACGTGTTATAATTTTGCATGCCGGGAATAAAAGTGGTTTCGTAGCTAACGCTTTGCTTCTGTTGGCCAAAAATATAAAAGATTCATCTGCTGATTACCACGAAGATATAACTGCGGCTTCATTCGAAACCTGGTTCAGTGAGCTGCTTCTCCCAAATATTCCTCCGAACTCGGTTATTGTTATTAACTACCTTAAATTTCGAAGTTTTTCATAATTACCCATGGTGGAAAATTTCAGTTGAGATAACTTTTTCATGGGGTGATCAATGGCTATGATTGTAAGAATAAGTAACTGAAAAACTACCACTGAAAAATAATATGCCGACGCCTATGTCGAGGCGGGAATTCCTTTTCTGTGCTGTTCCAATAGTGAACACACCTCTATGCAGGATGTGTGAACAGGAAGATGAAACTCTCAGGCATGTCCTATGCAAGTGTCGGGAATCATCGTCAATAAGAGAGTGTGTGTTCGGCGAGTTTTAGCCTACACCAGCCGATATTAAGAAGATGGACAACTCCTCGGGAGGATATACAATGGATCACATTTGGCCTATGTGGTGTGGGCCTACACTCACCCTTCCTACTCTACAGATACAGATACAGAAAGTTACTTCCTTATGAAAGAATCAAACCTATCAAGGGCTGATAGGAACAGTTGTGTCAGAAGGATCAGACGACATTTTCAATTACAAATTATCCAATCTATGGTGTTGATTTCATTGTTGATTTCTTTTTCAAGAAGATTATTGAATTCAATAAATTCTTATTCGAGTTGTTCTATATAAATTTTGGTTTTCTAAATATGGAAGATGAGTGAAAATATGTAGCCATTACATTCTCAAATATTGGTTTTTCTGAGCTTTGACGTTATTGACAAAATTTTTTTTGAATCATTATCATGTAAAATATTTTCGAAATATATTTGCCAATTATCTATTGAGTCTATTGACATAAAATGTAAACGTTACAGAAAATGTTCAACAACAGAGTGAAACAGATTCATATCCTCAACTGTTCGCAATATCTCAATCAACCTATAAGGTGGCTGAAGAATTTTCTCAAGCCGAAGATAGCATCCAGGGTGAGTATTTTCTGCATTATAGCTGTGGATGGATGATTGCGGAAACCTGAGTTGTCAATGCGGAAACAGTAAGTAATAAATATAGCTTAAAGAAGTAAAAAACACGCTTCTGAAGAAGATCGAACTGAAAAGTCAAAAATATTTTTTTTAAGCTTGAAACAATAACGATATTGGAAAAAAAAATTTTCATTGCTTCAAATGAATTTTTCACTTTTTAACGAC